CACCCTTACCTATAGTGGTCAGGTTCCACAAGGTTTCTTGCATCACATCTTTGAAGAGCTTCTTCTGGGAAGGATCCAGCAGAGCCCACTCCTCCAGGGTGAAGTTCACAGCCACATCCTCAAAGGTCACTGGCTCCTGAAATATCCCACAGGTATTCCCAGGAGGAAGGTGAGACACACAGCACTCACTGTGTGAGAATTTCACAGGATACCATGTCCTCCCAATACTCTGTCACCTGGGTGTCACATTCTTAATCTCCTACCAGGCTCATCCTCTCCACAGCAATTCTGGTGCTGAATTGCACCTACTGGTAGAGTAACAGGGAGAACAGGAACACTGGCTCTGCTGCTGGGTCTCTAATTCTTTCTGCATGAGGGTCTCTGGCACTTCTCAGAAAAAAAGTCCAAATATTTACTGCACAAAATAACAGTAGCTGTCCTGAGACAGCATATTCTTAGAAATGCTTGTGAACAAACCTTTATCTTTGTTGCTCTCTGGGAACTACTGTTAAGATGGACCTCACCAGAATAACTGCAGGAGGGGCTTGGGGTTCCCGAGAGGGTTATCCCAACAAAATGCAGCCTAAGTCCTGTTAGTCCCCTAATGTTTATAATATTCTGACATACTTGTCAGAGGTTTCCTATCTCATTAGCCCACAAATATTCTCTGGGTAATGAATCTCTTGGGAACTGATCTTTAAATCAGATTTAAAACCTCTTTTTATAACTCATTGTATAGGGAATTCAGTCCATTCTTTGGATTTGCACTAAGGGACCACAACTGGAAGCCTATATCTTAGTTCCTGTACATCAATCAGAAATAAATAGTAAATAAGACTCGTGAAGGATAATTCAGTAGACTAATAGGTAATCGTTAAAGTTTTGGAAGGAGAATGTTAAAAAACAATAAAATAAAGGGAATATTGGTACATGTTCTTAGATTTCACTGTCACCAAGGTGTCAACTTTACATGAACTTATAAAATTAAAAAATGTTAATAATAAAACCCTTTGGTAGGAAAACAAAAAATTGTTCATGCTTGCTCCATTGGTACATGTGTATAATCTCATCAACTAGGACTTATATATATATATTTTCCATCTCTGATACCTGTGGAGAGCCATTCTCACAGGTGACTGGGCAACTCCCGGTTTGGGTCTGAGGCGCTCTGGCTAATCTGTGTCGGAGCTTTCCCGGCCCTCTCCTGATGAGAGAGCCTGTCCGTGTGGGGGTGTGACTGACCACTGACCCTGGGGGCCAATCACTGACCCTGACCTTGGAGTGCGGACCCCCTCAACCTTCATTGGATGGAATTCTCCCCTGAATTTCTTGTTCCCCAATAAAAGGCTACTCCCTGGCGTGCTCACTCTCTCTCTCTCCTGCTAGCCCTAAGTAATCCTTGCTGCCCTACCGGGTGGTTCAAGGTGGGAACCAGAGAGGGGAGCCAACTCAGACCTGGTCATAGAAAAAGGTAACTGAGTCTGTGTGTTTTATTTCGATCTCGCTAGCTAACTTTTATGCCAAGAACCTCATTAATGAAACCAGTGCGCTGGTCGCATGGTGGAGATACCCGCACCCAAAAAGAAAAAGGGCTGCAGTGTAGGCTAGTGTTAGAGCAGTTGCCTAGCATGTGCAAAGCCTTGGATCCAATCCCCACTACCTCCACAATAAACATGATTAATGCACAGAACAAAAATAAGTGAATACATGATTAAAGACACTCTAAACACTTTAACTCAATATAAGACACCATAAAGAGAACTGTGTCCTTGTTTGAGGAACAAGCCAAATACATATAAATAGTGACGATCATAGCAAAACACACAGGCTTATATATAAATGGAGGATAAACTGATGCATAACCCTGACACTGTAATTTCAATTTTACCACAACCTTCACACCAGTGGCTGAAATCAAATTTAACCTCATCAAATATTTCTGCTCACACACTGAAAGAAGAGAATGTGATCCATATAGATACCCATTAGACTCCTCAAATGTTCACATAGCAACAATAGCAAAAAAGAGAAATCAAGGTGCACTCCTGTAAGCCCAGCAATCTGGGAAGCTGAGGCAAGAGGGTGGCAAATTCACAACCAGCTTCAGCAACTTGGCAGGACTCTAAGCAACTGAGCAAGACCTTGTCACTAAATAAAATATAAAAAAGGCTGGGGATATGGCTCAGTGGTTAAATACCGCTGGGCTCAATCCCCGTAATAATAATAATAGTAATAGTAATAAAGAAGAGGGGGAGAAGGCTCATTAATAGAGAAAATCCATTTCAAGGAAACCTCAAATTGAATTTGAACTCAGTCAACAAAGACATTCACTGGGCGAGTAGTGCACTCCTATAATCCCACTGAATCAGTAGGCTAAGCAGAAGGATCACAAGTTGAAGGCCAGCCTTGGCAACTCAGCAACACTGTAATTCTTTAAAATATAAATAATTAAAAAGGGCTAGGGATATGGCTCTGTAATAAAGCTGAAATCCTCAGTGCCACCAAACAAAAAAGCAACCAGCCAAACAAAAAAAAGACCAGAGTAATTTGCAGATTCCAATTATAACAACTTACATGAAGCTATAACCATAGGTGTTCCGTGGCATACTGGAACAAGGGGAACAGAGACTCAACTAAGATGAAGTTAAATGATTGAAATTATGTGGTTGGAAGAACACAAAGAACAGAGAATAAGCTTCAGAGACTGTTTCAACAGTGTATCACCTTGGCATGCCTTTTGGAAAGGAGTTCTTGAAGAGTGAAGCAAAAAGATGTAGGAACAGGGATCACATAAAATAAAACAAACAGAAAGTAGTTACAAATATGGTGTATATTAGCCCAACCATATCAATAATCACTTTAAATGTGAATGCTCTGTAGACAGACTGGTAGAAAACAAGATCCACCCTAGTGTACTTTGAGACACAAAAACAGGTTTGTTTTACTTTTAACTGTCAAGACATCAAGTCAGGAGTCAAAATTTATTTTATATATGAGAAATAAATTCAAGAAATCTAGTACTGGGGTGGGGTTGTGGCTCAGAGGTAGAGCGCTTGCCTAGTGTGTGTAAGGGCCTGGGTTCGATCCTCAGCACCACATAAAAATAAGTATTGTGTCCAACTAGAACTAAAAAAATAAATATTTAAAAATAAAAAAATAAAAAAAATAAAGAAATCTAGTACTGTGAGAAATCACTAGGATTATGTTTACAGTTCCCTCATCCCAAAAAATATGTGAAGTAATGTAGTTGGTAATAAGCTCAATTTAATAATTCAACAATGGCTAAATTGTACATGCACATTTGTGTGATAAAGGGCATTGAAATCAGCATTGAGTTGTGAGTTGCAGCCAAT